GGAGGAGGAGGAGGAAGCGGGGGGCGGGGGGGAACCGGGGCAGCCCCGCGCTGCGGCCACTCGGCCCTTGGAGCTTCTCCGCGTCGTCCCCCTTCCAGCATCGTAATTTTCACCGAGCGAGTCCGGCTCTGAGGGCATCCGTGCGCCTCGTTAATGACGCACTTTCGTTAAATAAATAAATAAAGGACAATCTTTGCCTCAATTAAATACCCACGGGTCAGTCCGGTGGCAGCGGGACCGCCCCCGCTCCGGGGCTGGGGTTGAAGAGCAGCAAAGCTCAGCAAAGCGGTTGGAGCGAGTCCTCTCCGCGCCCTCCCCGCTCGCCCGGTGGGAAATGGTGCTGGTCATCGCCGGCACAGCCTGGTTACTCATGGCGCTGCCAGCACCTCGTAGCCATCGAGCTTGACCCTTCCGAATTATTGAACGAGCGAAACATCCAGGGCGAGGTTGCTGGGCGCTTACTGGGAGCCACCGAGTGACTTACCGTAGCCCACGTGGCAAGCAGGGGGGCTTCGGCTTCAGCTCTGCGCTGGTGACCAGGGCCGAGGTGGGCACTGGAGGCCTCTCCCTCCCGGGACTGGGAGAACGGGGAGATGCACAGACGGAGTGACACGACACCCTGCATGCGCGCTTGGGCCGAGGGAGGGAAACTGGCCTCGTGTGGGCAAGGCCGGTGCAGAACCTGCTCCCCTTCGGAGCTGGACCCAAGCCCGACCGCCGAGCGTGGCTGCTCACCGGCGCCTCGTGCTTCCCCAGCTCCCTCGGTGACTCCCCCGCGGTTATTTCGGGGTTCTGACAAACCTGTTCTGTAAATACACCCGAGTCTTTCTTCCAGGACCGTTTCCTGCACGATTTGTACCTCATTTATTCCGACACGCAGACTGCTTTCCGTGCAGATACAGCCTGCCTCCCCTTTATTCCCGCCTGCCTCCTGCCCGCCTCCAGTCTCCTTTTGTTTCCCTCTTTCCCGGTGAATCCAAGGCACAGCCTCTCTCCCTGAAAGGAAAATTGGCGAGTTATTGCTTCTGTTGCCACCGGAGCTGCTCTTACCCTGGGGCAGACGTGGCGCAGGCAGCAGCTCTGGCGTGAGATGCGCGGTCATTTTGGATGGCTTTTGGGGGAGAAAAATGGTTTCTCCTTCCCTCCGCAGGCAGCGGGAGCGGGGGCTCACCAGCAGACGCACCGCACTGGGGATTCGGTCTGCCGCGGGGGAACGGGGGAGAGGTTTCCACACCTCCTCCTGCCGCTGCCACGCGGGAGATCTGGAGAACCAAACCCTTCCCGGGGTCGGTACGTGGCTCCTGAACCGAACCGCCAGGCCTGGCCCCCGAGAGGAGAGCGAAACGAGCCGCCCTCGGTTACAGGTTTGGCTTGGAGAGCGTCGCTCCCGGCCGCATCAGAAAAGGAAAACACCGTTTCTTTGGCAGCAAATGGAAAGGTTTTTACCCAACGGGGTCGCTTTTCCCTCCCTTACACCCTCGGAGAAAGGCAGCAAAGGCGGCTTCTTGCTTATTTTATCAAATATTCCTACGTGGAAAAAAGAAAACCAACAGAAGCAACCCCCAGACCCAGCCCAGCCCTGCCTGCGCTGCGCAGGGGCTTCAGCCACCTTAAAGCCTTTTTACTCCCCTCGACATCCCCTCCCCACGTCCCCTAAATCGGTGCAGGATGGGCAGAGCGCACGGTGGCAGGACCAGCCGCGCCGGGGTGTCACCAAGGTGAGCGAACACTCAGAAAGCCGGGAGGGCAGCGTCACCTGTGCTTTCAGATGGTAAGAAAATCACCAAAACCACTGCCTCTGAGAAGGCGAACCCCCGGGACGGCTTAGGCGGCTGCTGGTTTTGATCCTCCACAACAAACGCCAGCGAGCGGAGAAAACGCTTTCTTGCGATTTTTATTGGTTTCATGTTAAAAGAGGTCGGCACACGCCAGCGCTGTGACACCCCGGGGCGCCGCGCACACACGACCACCTCCTGCGCCGCAGGTTTGACGCAACTGAAAAACACCAACTTCGCACAATGACAGAAGTGTTAGAACGTAACCTAAGTTAGATAAAAATGCAAAGAACTAATAACATTTCGGCTCAACATCCGCTTTTAAATAGCTCTAGACATAAATAAATACGTTAGTCTTCAAGCAAACGCGCTCCATGACATCCAAAACGGCCGATTTCTCCCCGAAGCTGACGTGACTCTTCTAGGGCCGGGGCAGCTTCTCTCTGCCTGAACCCACGGCACCAGCGCTGGAGACAGGAGCTTGCTAGGCCTTAAAATATCAAATACTGAACATTCTTGGAAAGGAATAATTTCAAACAGACGGAATTCTTTCGATAAAGAGAGCTGAACGGGCGGGTGGTGTTAGATCGTTAACTCACGTGAGCCCCGTTAAAAGTAATTGAACCCCCAGAGCTGGTCTCGAGGAAAGGACTCGAATAAAGCCCCCCACGGTGTAAATCTCTGGTGTGGAATATGCGTTTTTATGAACACCCTCAGGAACGGCTCGTGGTGTCAATGCGGATATTAGGAACAAACGCACCGGTGAACCCCTCGGTGACAGACCCCGAGGCAGCACCCCTGCCCCAGCCGGGTCCTCGGCGGCTCGGGGAGGTGCTGTGAAGTGAA